AAACACCTGGAAGCCCTAATTTGGAATTAGTTTTATTGTGTATTTCATACTTTGAAAATATTTAACGAGTTTTTGATTAAGAAACTCAACAATTTCAAAGCGACCAGTGGCAACACTATAGGAGTAAAACACTTTTATCTCCAGCTCATGAGACTGTCTATTGGAAATTCTAAAGATATGCTGTTTTAAAATATATTTAGCACAACGTAGAGCTAACCCAAATACTCTTGAAACATCTGTGTTCTGTAAATGAAAAAAACGCCCGTTTGAGCATAATATAAAATCTGAAAATTTTCAGTCCTCAATATTCAATCCTTAATATTTTTTTAATTGTGGGGTTTTTTTTTCGTTCAGACTTATTTTGCTTTTTTTAAAGTTACAATAGTATTGAAAAGTTTTGTCATATGGGTGAGTAATCGTAAAATATGAAATAATATTAAGAATCAATTTATTTCAAGATGCCTCTGATTATAAATTGAATTAATAAAATGCCATTTAAATTTTTTCCTGAAAAGGGTGGCTTTCTGAAAAATCTGTATGGTTGTTTCTTTTAATAAAAGAGTACAAAAGATGGAGTCAATATGTGCTTCGAAAGAAAAGCATTTTTTTCTATTTATTTACGTGCGTCTTCGTTTACAGCATAAGGATAATTAAAATTAACTACAAAGGTATACTTACAAATCAGCATTTTTACAACTGTGTTTGAATGGATTAATAAAGTATTCACAACACATCGAAAAACTGTTGAAATTCTAGAAAATATTAACTCTTAAAATGATAAAAATATTTTGAATCGTAAGCAGCTGCTTACCAATTAAATTAAAATTTCGAAGTAAATCGTATGTTTACTTAGCTTTGCTATAGAAATCGTTTTCAATATTTTCCTTATCTTTCGATCAATGAAAATGTTTAGAACATAAAATATAAAAAGAAATTTTGTAATAAGGAAAATTTTTCGAAACATGTAATGCTGTTAAATTTTGGAAAGAATCAAAATCATTTATTAATTAGATCCATTTATAAAATTTTGGAAAGAATAAAAATCATATAATACTTTAAATTAAGAAGTCCCTACTGACATATAAGCTAATTATACGAAATTAATATTTTATTCGTAAGTAATAGTTTACATTATCTAACTATAATAAATAGATGTTCAAATTAAACTGAAAATTCGCTGTTAAGAAGGAACTTTGTATGAATTTCACTCTAGAACAATGTGTAATAAAATGACTCTTTCAACTGAAAAGAAAATTCTACAGATTTTTTTCCTGAGAATACCGACCCAATTCAGAAATAATAATTTTCCCTAAATCTCTAAATTAAACGATGAAGAAGATCCCAAATTAAAATTTGCAATGTGGGATCTTCTTCATCGTTTGAGTTAATATTCACCTCCTTCTAACTAAGATAGTTAGGACTATTATCAGGGCAAAGTTATAAGGGGGTGAATCCTAAATTTTATCGAATTTAAACCTTAAAATATTCTTTCATCTTTTAGCTAGCAAAATGTTTGAAATTTTTCGATTCCTTCATTTAAAAATAAGAAGAAGAATAAAAATCATTTTACTTGGAAGTTTTTAACGAAGGCAAAATTTACATCCACGTTCGTAATACATCCTCAGTCCTAACTTTGAAGCTTTAAACAGTAACCTGATTCAAGTTCTAATTTAATATAGCATTAGCTAACTTTAGGTTTTTCTGAAAGTGAAAACTGCAAAGAATCGAAAATTATGAAGGCTGGAATTACATCATTAGAGCCGTCTATAAATAGTTAAATAACCCTAAATAAAGGCAAAAGACACCAGACAGATGGAAAAGCCAGAATAAACTAATGTAAGGAGCAATAGGCGTGTCTTCTAAAGAAATTCACAGACAGTGTTTGCCGATAATGAGGCTTTAAATAACCAAGCACCTAAAGAGCAAAAATAAATAAAAATTACAATAGGTAACTAGTTACCTAAACTTTTCTATGAAATTAAAGTAATATTTTGGATTTTTCATATGAATTAAGAATTCGCAAATGCATTAAATTAATTAATTAATTTTATGAAGACTCGCTTCAAATAATTGCGAGATCAGAATTATATTTTGCAGAGTGCTGGCTGAATTATCAGCAGAATTAATGAGAAAAACATTATTTTGTTTTCACTGAAAGATATATTCCTAACATGTAGTGATGCTTTAAAAATATCGACGCACTTCAAAAATATTAATCATCTCTAAATCTTTAATTAAAACGACAAGGCAGATAACGCATTAAAAATGTAAGGTTAAGACAAAGGCAAAAGTAGAAAGGGGGTGAATGCTAAATTTTACCGAATTTAAATCTTAAAAAAATATTCGCATCTTTTGGGTATTCGAATACTCGAAACCTTTCGATTTCTTCATGTAAAAATAATAAGAATAAAAAAAACATTTTATTTAAAAGTTTTTGATGAAGGCAAAATTAGAAATCTGCATTTAATGGAAAACGAATTTAAGAACACATTCACCCATAATTTAAAAGAAGTTTAAATGAAATTTAGTAAATGAAATATGTAATTAAAATTTATAAAGCTCCTTTTCTCAATATAATTTGAGGAAAAAAAGCTTAAATAATAGTTCCAGTTTTTATACCTTTACTCCGAATCTTTTTAATCAAAGCAAGGGCAGGAGGGAGGTGTAATTCATGAGTTAAAAAAAATCAGAATTTAACATGAAAAGCTAAACACTTTCTAGGAAATTAAGAATGTGTCAGTCAAGATCACCACAGGGTAATATTCATAAACCAGTTCGATTAAAATTCAATAATTGCTTTTTTTAACGTTTTCTTTAGCTATCAATAACTTTATTCTTTCCGAAGTTCCGAGTATAAACACTCAGGGATATTTTATATTAGGAATCGAAATATAAGAATAACGAATAATAACGCGAATGTCTGAGTTTTGAAATCGCGAATCCTTTTCGAGGTTCACGAGAATCTAGACTTTGAATGTTTTATCGCTGATTAAAAGATAAAAATAACCCTTTTCCTTTCCAGATTAAAATTTCATTTAGAGTCTGTTTGTTGTGAAACCAATCATCTTATGTAAAATCACAAACGGAATACTTTTGAAAACATTATTTGGGATTCAAGGTAAATTCTTCATGAAATTCACTTCTATCATACAGATTTTAGCAATAAATTATGTAACTTCTTAGTTCCATTTTTAATTGAAAATCAGAAATTTTTCAGATTTTCCTTTCAAAAATAATAATTTTCACACTTCGTATTAGAAATATGAATTAAAATTTTAAAATGTCAAAACAAAAATTAAGTTTACGAAGAATAGTCCAATTTATATGCCATGAAAGAATATATATGTTTTTATAATGATTGATTCCGTTTATTTATTCAAAAAACATACACAACAAATATATTCTTAAAATCTTCACAAATACAAGCCAGCAGTCGTTTCTCAAAATAAGTCTGACTGTTTTAAGATATCATAAATATTGCATTTTGATTTAAAATGGGATTTATCAAAATAGTCAAAACATTTGTAAAACATGCTTCTTTTAGAAGATGGAGATTTCTAGAAAACAAGTCACTAAATATATTAGTGATTTGAAGTAGAAATTCTCAGTCGTTATTGGATTTCATATAATATGTGTATTAAAACACGAACCTCCTTCCAGCACACGAAACAAAAAGCAATATTAAATCTTTTACTAATTATTTTCCCCTTTTTCCATGTATTGTCGCGTGGCAAAAAAACAAGCCACTAAATTCCAGTCTGCCTGCATTATGGGTTTTTAGAAGGTATTTCTATCTTTGGATTACATATAATGGCAAACATATTTCTCTGCATCATTCAAATCATCGAAGCGTGGCATTCAACAAAGCTTGCAGTTAAGTTTTATAAAGTATACGTGTACGCGGTAACTGCACTCAATTGCATGTACAGAACCTACAAAGCAACCAACAGTCAAACTTATTGGAGGATGACGAACTACTACGGAATCCTTTGATTTCCTTTTTTTTTTTTTTTTTTTTTTTGGTTAATGATGGAAGTTCTATTCCAGATAAATGTTATTTGTCGTAACATATACTTACAGAACCTTAATAAAAGATGCATCATGGATAATTTTAGAATTTCTTTTTGCCCTCATAGCGTAAAATAGTAGACTCTTATTTCTGTTAATTACTATAATTTACATAGCTCTTCGAAAAAAAAAAAAATTCTATCGCCCAACGCACTTGTTGGCGCTACTGTCTGCTTGTTATTGGTATTACTGACAATAAAAAATCAACGCCTTTCTGATTATTGTTTCGCAAATTGTTTTAGAAGATTTCTTATAAATAAATTACTGTTTCCATGCTTGCATTGTTAATATTTAGATGGAAGATCGCTTCGTTTGAAGTACAGAAGAAACAAAACAATTTTTAAAGAAATTTCCTGAGATTTTGAATGTTAGATCTGATCAGAGCCCTTTAAGCGTGTTTGGAACATTATATTGATTGCACTATATAAACATATTAAAGCATTTCCATTGCGCATAAAGTAACCGTTATAATTTATCTCTTATGCAGGACCGCGCTTAACCATTTCTCAAAGTGTTCCTATTCCACAAAACGTAAAAGTTCAACTTATAAAACATATTAACATAAAAGTTCGAATTTAATCAGTACGTAAATTGCTCAACAAATTTAGATATTTATAAACAATAAATACATTTCCTAATCATTTCTATATCTTTTTTGTTTTACTTTTAATAGCACATCTAACTAATATAAATCAAAATACAACCAGCATTGTTATAATTATTAAAAGATAATTCTAACACCATATATTAAGCATTCGAGACACAATAGTTTATCTGCCATTTTTTATATTATTTATTTCTACGTAATAATCTTGAACAGTTTGAATTACTTTAACTTAGACTTTCGATTAGCCTAATTTAGACTTTTGATTCAATTTCTTCTTCTTTAAATTTTAAAGTATCCACAAATCCTTTATAAGATTTCTACGTACCTTTCTTCACTAAATTTAATGTTGTCGATGTGGCCTTTTTCCCATATCGGATATACAGCCATACTCCTACTCTCCGCTTCCTTATCCGCGGCTTCACATATATTTGATTCAGATCAGAAAAAGAAGACACATTTCGCGTATATTTCGAAACGCAGGCCAGATAAGAGTAGTCCGTAACATTATCAAAATATTGCAACTCAAACACACCCGTCTCTGTCTTCCCACGTATTTGCATTCTCGTTTAGAACCAGTGTAACTAAAGAGGGAAAAAGGAAATCGTCGGTAGAGAATTATTCCAAAATTCATCAGACTTAGGAAATCCATCAGACTCATACTCCCACTTGATGGTCTTAAATATTTTGGCAGTGAATCTCGGTGATGAAATGTCACACTATATTTGACTTATCTTTATTTGCAGATGCATATTTCCTTTAAAATTCACTTCCATGTCTTCTAGTGCCGCGCTTTTGCAGCTGTTTTCCTCTTGAAATTTGCATTCACCTCTACGGCTCCAAAAGTAACAGAAGTTTTGCTAATATTTGAAACTACTAGTATGCTGAAATGGGAAAAAAGAAGTGTTCTAACCGTAGTCATCTTTTTCAACAATAACATATACTATATAGCGGGCTGGGCAAAAACCGAATCGTAGGCAAAATGCAGCCCCCCCCCTTTTTTTTTTTTTTTTTTTTTTTGCTTAATTCTGCCTTTTATAAAATCCTGGGAAACGACATTTTCACCTCTTTCCTACCCTTTAAAAGCATATCAAAGATATCAGCAGCACGTTTGACAACTATTGCTGGAGTTTATATACGCTTGACTGTACTAGAGGTCAACTAAACTGAGATATGCCAGAAAGCATGCGCATCTGCCGAATGATGTAATGCTGTCATTTCTAGCAGCTTTAATTTAAACATTGAAATATGAATCTTGTGAAAATAAAAATATTAATCAGAAAAGAGCGCTTAGAGAAAGAGTATTTCACCGTTTAAATTTTTATTTAAAAATGAAACAGTATCCATGTAAATCATAACCAACAAGAACAGATTTTCGCATATTTGGCGAAACTGCAGATTAGCAGTAATTTAACCATAGTCTCTCCATATCATGTAATGTCTCTCTCTATATGTCATCTAATCTCGTGACTGTTATACGTAACTGGAGCGGAGTATCGAATTTTGTCACTCATCGGCTTTGCAACACACTCTTTTTCTGGTAGCACTTTAAAATTCACTTACATTGTATAAAAGGAAACTTGTGCTCTTCTCTTTTCATTACAGAACTGTGTTGTCTATTTCCAGCAGTCTATAAAAGTGCTAGTAACAGCAGAATCTCAACATGCGCTCACAATACTTAACATAGACATTGCAAAGTGCCTGATCTGGCTATCTTTAATAGTTTCGCTGTTATTAATTCTCAAAAAGGCTAAATTATGATTTGGGGACCCTTTGAACATTTTATTTCAATAATTTCATTGTATTAGTGAATCAGCTTGTTTATTGATTGTTCTGGAGGAAAAAGAGAAATATTCTGGGTACTTGTCTCCTGTAGCGGCCGTGGCGAAAAATTGGATTTGGCGCTTTTCTTCTTTTGATAAAAAACAAACGGTTACCGATGTGCGTGTGTGCGAGAAACAAACGGTTAATGATCTAACCAATTTTTCGTATTTGTATTGCGTCAATGTATCATTTTTTGATTGTAAAATATTCATTATGCTAATATTTTCAATGTTCCATTGACATAAAAAGAAGTTATGATTGATGCTTGAATAGAGCCGTAGCTAGGGTTTTCAGCGCGGTGACAGTTGAAAATTTAGCGCTTCTTTCTGATAGCCAAGAATTCCAAACATTTAAAAATTAAAATTTCGTAGCATCAATTTGGCACCCGCTGGATGCTACATCGAAGAACAGATGTCCTTTCTTGCTCCCTTCCAGCTATGCCACTGGGTTTGAGATAAGATTCAATTGCTGAACTGTGGTCACAAGAAAATTTCTGTCTAAAATTAATTTTTCGGTACGTTTCTATATGTTGTTTTTTATAATTGTTAACAAAATTCTGTAAAATAAAATAAAAAGGAGAATTTGATAAAAATTTACAATGATGTGCCCCCTTGATATTTTTGGCAAATTTTTTGACGCCCCGAATGGCACTAAAGTTATGTTTCCAAAATGTCTTTCACCTAAAACAACGCCATAAACGCGTGTTACGAAAACAGCAAAAAAGTACTCATCTCGTGCGTTCTTGGCTATATCTTATCATCAGCGTCGGATGACTGCGGCTGATACTATATTTTAATACCGTTCATATAGTCAATGGATGGATCTTCCTCTTCCTGATTCAAATACCAGCGACGCCACGTAGGTAATTATTATAAATACGAATAAAAATTTTCATCTGACAACTGCCGAAGATCTGGTTCACAAAACTCCCGCTTGATCTAGCTCCAAGTGCACTCGATGGTGTTGGTATGGGCACTAGCTTCAGCGCCTTTATACGTCAGTATATGATTTACTGGCAAATACTCAAAGCTCTGATTGCCGAGGCAATCATAGACATTCCAACAGCTGGAGATAATCCCAGTTCCAGGCAAGATTTCCCGAGAAATCACCTGCAACAAAGTCTCTTTCGTGCGACCCTCCAATGGTCAATTAACGGTGGTTAAAATTCAAATAATTCAAAATACAGTCAAAATTCAAAATATGGGATACATAGTTCGTGATACACGTACAAGTCACCGTATACGTTTCGACCACTAGACTGAAAAGATCCAATCAGATTAAACTTCAGAAATATGTTGGCCACATAACAAAAGATTGCCATAATATTATGGAAACAATTGATTTAGGGTTTCTAAAAAATATTTTGCACCACTTTCAGGAGCACCCATTTTTACACTAGAATTTTACGATATGTTTAATAATAAATAGAATTTTCCAGCTGCCGCCCACCCGGTACAGTGGTTAGTGACCTTTATTGCCGTAGCGATAGGCCCGGCTTCGAATCCCGGAAAAGGCATGGTTGTAATTGTTTGTCCTTTCATAGGAGGCAACGGTGATCACCTGTTAGGTGCTTCCATAATGAAATGGCCACCATATTGGGCCCTTGTAGTGGTGCAGGGCTAATGTTTATTAAATAAATAAAGCTCACAGCCATTAAAAAAAAGAAGTATTTTCCAATTTATTTACAAAATGTTGTTATTTTAACCCTCTGAGCGTTATGACCGGGTTTAGGCGGTCAAGACGGCCTACCTCGAAAGTGTTACGGACGCTTCTAGGCGGTCACTGGAAAAGTGTTCGAAAGCGTTACTGACGGTTCTAGGCGGTCAGTGGTGAAGACCTGGAAAGCGTTATGACCGCCTTAAAGCGGCCGTGCAGATGTCTCCTGCCCCCCTTATTTCTGGAACCCTGGAGATCTCTAAATGACAGTTCTCAGTAGGAGGCAAAGAGGGTTGCTCTTTTTCGTTTTAGACCGATATGTTTAATCGCCAAGAAAACGCTTGAGCATGTAGTGGTTTATAAAAACAAACAAACGTGGACATTCTTCGCGAAATAAAAAAGTAGCATGTAAGCATGTTTTTTCAATACTCTCTTTAAACAGATAACATTTTCATAAAATATCCTTTAGTTTTTAAATTGAATGTTCAGAAATATGCGAAATGCTCGTGAATTCAATTAAAAAATAGCATTAGGAAATATTTAAACAAATTTACTTATGGATATATAGATACATAATTAAAACCGACAAGTTATAAGTTTTAATTATTCGAGCGAAACGAATAGCGCATTTAATTACTGCATTTAATATGAATTATATATAATTACATGTAAAGAATAACATAATTAAGCAATAATTCAAATAAAAATTAGCCATCAACAGTAATTTATAATAAGCGTATTTTGAACGGGTTTATGAAGCATAATCTAATTTGATAGTAAAAATAATAATGGCGAATTATTTATTCATTTTGGAACAATATTCGTGGCTTATACTGGTTTGATGAAGTTCTGTTCAAATTCATTTCAAATATTCCAAATCTTTTTATGTACATTGATTTCAATGCGATTTTTATTAGAAAAAAATTCAATGAGTTTGATTTTCTTACATAATTGTAATTACATTGTTCAACGCAAAATAACTACAAGCAGAAAGGCAAAGGTGTGTTAAAATTTCTGTATTTTGCTATATAAATTATTAAAATAACCAACCTACAGCCTAACAACTGAATGTCCGAAATATAACCCGCAACTTTTCTAAAAGTAACAAATTTCAGTTAAAAAAAAACCGCAGTAAATAAATAAAACGAAATACTATTAAGAAAAGAAGCACGAAAATTTATTTTTTTATATTTACTTACTTTATTTTTAGTTCAAAGGGGCAATTTGCCCTGAAGGACTTTTAATTTCGCTTTGGCATTTTTCATTGAAAACTATAAACGGCGAATCACTTTTCAAATTGTTGCCACTAAATATTATCGCTCTGTATTATACTTAAAGAAATTAAATATTGAAGAATCTGCATGAATGTACGCATGTTTCTCGCATTGTGATAAAACAACGGTACCTAGAGCTATCAAAATTTAAATAACGTAATCTTCCATACAATATGGGCATGTGGAAGCCCTAATTTGAATTTGAAATTTGTTTTATTATCGATTTCATATTTTATAACACTTCTTCAACGAATTTTTGATTAAAAAAACTATACGATTTCAAAGCGAGTAATGTCAACACCGTACGAAAAAAATCCTATTTTTATCTCCAGCGCGAGAGACTCTAAGATACGGTCATTTTAAAATAATTTTGAGATATTGCTGTTGAACTGAACTTTATGGTTTGAGTACGTAGAACATGATATTTAATGAGGTAACACACAAAACGTTAAAAACGCTCCTTTGGACGTAGTTTAAAATCTGAAAGCTTTCATATTTTTATTTATTAGTCCAAAGGGACGTATTAGTATTTAAAACAATAGTCCGTGAGAGACTATTGTTTTAAATACTAATACAGTTTTCGTTTTTGCGATTTTACGTTGAATCACTAAAAACGGCGAATCACTTTTCAGACTGTTGCCACCAAATGTTATTAGTCCCGCATTACATT